GTTGTTAAAGTGTGCGTGACGTAGAACAATGTGTTGTGATGTACGAAGTTAATTGAAATGAACTTCGTACTTTTATTATTATTTTTTAGTAACACTTAGTTTCCCGTTTGAGATTAATTAGATTTCGTGCATGGATGCGTAAAGCATGACCGCAGTCCAATTAATTCTTGAATTGTCCCATTATTTGGACAGTTTGGTAATGCATAGTGTTGTCGCGTAATCTACGGCTACAGTGTTGCCCTATATGCAAAGAGTCGAGGTTCAAGATGACATCTCAGAATAGGACGACTAAGATCCCACAGAAACTCATGCGTTATCTGCCCCTGAAACCTAGGCTACAATGATTGTATATGTCGACTCATACTGCCACAGACATGAGATGCATAAGGAAAAACGGGTAGACGACGATGTGATGCGGCATCCTGCAGATGGGGAGGCATGGAAAGAGTTCGATTGAACATTCCCCGAGTTTGCTGCTGATCCCCGAAATGTTAGATTGGGACTTGCCATTGACGGATTCAATCCATACGGGGTTCTAAACCAACACCACAGCACTTGGCCGATTTTTGTATTCCCATATAATTTGCCGCCTTGGAAATGCATGAAAAAAGAATACATGATGATGACTGTTTTGATAACTGAGGATCCTGGCAGGTCAATCGATGTTTACTTAAGGCCGTTGGTTGATGAGCTCAAGGATTTATGGACAAACGGTGTGCGCACGTACGATAAAGCCACTGGGAAGATGTTCACTTTGCGGGCAGCAGTGATGTGGACTGTGAATGATTTTCCCGCATATGCAATGGTATATGGCATGCCCTGTATGCAAGGAAGATGTAACTTCTGGTTGGCATGCGGGAAAAGTTTGTTATCTTGGTCATTGGAGATGGTTGCCATGGAAAAGAATAAAGAGTTTGACGGGAACACAAAGCATCGCCTCAGACCTAGGGAATGGTCCGGTGATGAGATCTTGGAACAGCTAACCGTTTGGATTTTTCTCCGTTCGGGAAAACAGTTACTCGTACCAGACCTTCTACACATTTGAACTGGACGCACAAGTCTATGTTTTTTTAGCTCCCATATTGGTTGAAACTAAAATTGAGGCACAATCTCTACGTTATGCATGTTGAGAAAAATGTCTTTGACACATTGATGGGCACGATTCTAGATATTGAGGGTAAGACAAAGGACACGATCAAAGCTCGTCTTGATTTGGAAAGAATGGGCATACGAAGAGGTTTATGGATGAACAGGGACGGTGATAAAGCTATAAGGGATCTGGCATTTTTTTCCATGAAACCGAATGACAAAAAAGATTTTCTAAAGTTTGTATCGTCGGTAAAGTTTCCCGATGGGTATGCTTCTAATATCGCGCATTGCATGAATGTTGACAGGGGTAAATTTACTGGACTAAAGAGCCATGACTGCCATGTGTTTATGCAACACCTACTTCCTGTGGGTATTCGACACCTTTTGTCAAAAATGTAGTGAAACCAATCATGTTGTTGTCCAGAATTTTTTCCCAACTGCCGGCAAAAACATTGCGAAAGACAGACATTAATCAGTTGCGCCATGACATTGTCCAAGAACTATGCAAGTTTGAGATGATATTCCCTCCAACTTTCTTCACAAGTATGATCCATGTGATGGTTCACTTGCTAGAAGAGGCATTGCTCGCTGGTCCTGTCAACTATCGCTGGATGTATCCAATAGAAAGATATATAATCCTCATCATTTGTTTATGCATCCTTATCTCACGCTCGCTAATTTGTATCGTTTCTTTTTATTTTGCCAGATCCAATAGAAATGTATATAATTCTCATCATTTGTTTATGCATCCTTATCTCACGCTCGCTAATTTATATCGTTTCTTTTTATTTTGCCAGACTTCTCGGAGAGTGGAAAAAAACTGTACGCAACAGGGTGAAACCCGAAGGATCAATTATAGAGGCTTGGGTTCAATATGAGTCGCTTACTTTCTGTGGATTGTATTTAAAAGATGTGGACACGGCTTTCAATCGTCCTCAGTGCAATAATGACGGCGGTCTAAGAAATGAGAAACTTTCTGTTTTTGCCCAAAGCGCACGACCCTTTGGAGATCCGGTACGAGGAGAGTCGTTTTCCAGAAATGACATGGAGGTAGCGCATTGGTTCGTACTTAACAATTGTGATGAGATAATGGCATACTTAGATAAGCATGAAGAGATGATGAAGCGAGAACATCCATCACATTTGTATGCCAAGAAACACCGTGATTTGTTTCCACAATGGTTTTTGGAATATGTAAGTTATAAGTGTTTTGTATTTGTTATATATATATATGTATACATATTGTATTATTTAATGTTATCAAACTAACATGTGAATTCATTTGTATAATATTAGGTGAATAAGTTGAAATCATCGAATTCACCCTCTTACAGTGAAGAGTTATATAACTTGGCGTTCGGCCCAATTCGCGCTGAATTATTCTCGGGTTGCCATGTTAATGGCGTCAAGTTTTTGGGAACTGCACGAGATGACAAGTTGTGTACGTAAAACAGCGGTATCCATGTCCCAGGTGGTGGCGAAAGTACGGACATTGATTTCTATGGCAAACTCACAACTGTCGTGCAATTGCTTTACAAAGACCGATACCAAGTGATCATGTTTAAGTGTCGATGGTTTGATACAAACCCAAATAAGCAGGGAAGTGTTAAAATAGACCGTGGCTTACTATCAGTGAACATTAACAGAACTTGGTATGATGACGACCCTTACATTTTGGCAAACATGGCAAGACAGATTGTGTATCTAGATGACCCTAAAGCCGGAAGTGGTTGGAAAGTTGCTCAGCAGATGGATCAGAGGAACATGTATGCTATACCAGAACTAGACCAAACTGACAACGACGTCGACAACGTCACTGACCAACGGTTGGAATCTTCCATGGAAACTGATGCAGAAACACTTCGAGATACAAATGTTATACAAGAACCGTTTCAGCTTCAAGGAGTGTCTTCAATCGAAATACCGATTCAGTAAATGACAATTTACCTTTGTAATCTTCCGCAATACGAAGTTTCAGTGGGCCCGAACAATGAAAGTGATGAGGAGGAGGATTGGGAGATCGAAAGTGATGATAGCGAGGATAATGAAAGTTATTATAGTTCAGATGATGAATAATGCATAGTAAATGAAAGTTATTCATTAGTGACTACCCATGTAAAACATAGTAAATGAAATTTGTTGTAATTTAATTATGGTAGTGTAAATATGGCAATCACAAATTAAAATCAAGTTGCACACAAAATTTGCAATCACAAATTAAATTACAACATATAATATATAAATTTAAATTTAGATATATACCTAAATTTGAAAACATATTTGAATCTATCTATTTGATTTTCAATTTCCATTTATGAATATAAGAATTATGGTTTTCTCTTTTTTGTGTTTAAAATCTTCAAATTGAATGAATACCACTTGTAGATGATTTTTTCATTTTTGGTTTTGTTTGAAGGATATTATAATATTAAACACTATTGTTATAAATTTATTGTATATTTCTCCATGTATATATATATACACACATATAATTTAATCACATATGTCGCAAGTTAAATTGATTTTATCATAATTGATGTTAACATTTTAATATAACTTACACCTTTAACCCAAACAAGACTATATATTTTTTGCCAATAGTCTTAAATTAATATACTCCTATGTTAAAATTAATCTATTGGAAAAAATTATATATTTTTGTAGAGAAAAACAATATTTTCTTTTTCTTTTTCCAATAGTCTTAAATTAATATACTCCTATGCATATGAATATATGAGTACTGAAATAAAACATATATAAGACTTATAAACAAAAAACAATGTAATTATAATTAAAATTTCGGAATTTTCGGAATTTCTGGCAGAATTACAACCTTGCGCGACGAAATCATTAAATATTCGTCGCGCAAAGTGCATAGAACAAAGGCTTGCGCGATGAATCTGTTAAATATTCATCGCGCAATCTCATTCAGTCCTTTTACAAACCTGGAACACTTAGCATAAATTTTTGCCAGAGGTTTGCGCGACGCACAACTTCTTCTACGTCGGGCAAAGTGCACAGAACAAAGACTTGCGCAACGAATTTA